CCCCCGCCCCCCAGCCCTCCAGTCACTTCCTGCTGATGGGGACTCCGCTGGCCCTCTCGTTTTTCATGCCTTGTCAGGAGGCCCGAAGGCGAGAGGGCAGCTGGGGGCCCTGGGCAGATGTCCTCATGAAACATTTACCAGCTTAATCAGAGCTCCTCGCCCCTCTGGCGCGGCCCCGGGGCTCGCCCCCCGCAAGAATCCTGGGGAACCCCGGGCGGCTGGAAGCGGGCGGCCCCGGCGGATGCTGGGTGCTGGCACTGGCCTCGGTCCGCGCTGCCAGCGCAGTTCAGGGCACCGGGATGCAGCATCCGCAGGCCTGGGCTGGCGTTTGGGGAGGTCACAGCTGGCGGCCCTGGGGTCCCCGGGAAGGGGGCGTGGGGAGCCAGAGCCGGCAGGCGCAGCCTCCCCCCTCCGCGGGCCCTGACCCCGCACCCGGCCGGCCGAGAGGCGGCCGCTCTCCTAATTGAAACCGGCAGCTGCGCCTCCGACGCAAAGCCCCCTTTGAATGGAGCCCCCACGCGGGGCCAGGGCCGCCCTCCCCGCAGACGGGGCGCGCCCCGGGCCATCCCGGCCCCCCCACCTCCGCAGCGGGAGGCGGGGCGCCCACTTCCGGGGGGCGGGGCCTCGGCGGGGGGGGGGTCCTCTCCAGGGCACCTGCGGGCTCCGCCGCCTGGGGCCTCCCGCTCTGCTCATCACACGCTGCAAGGGGCTGGCGTGACCCCGTGTCCTCGCCACAGGGGGGTTGCAGTGCTGGGGGGCCTCCCGTGTTGGGGGGCCTCCACCGCCAAGGGCGCAGATTCTCACCACCTTGGCGCTCAGTGTAGATGGGCGGCCAGAGACCCAGCTGGTCCCCCGTCTACGCCGGACGCCCGCAGCCCCGGTCAAGCGAGGGCCTCCCTGGGGGTGCCCTTCCTGCCCGGGGCCCAGGGGCTTCCTGGCCGCTCAGGGTCGCTAACTGTACCAGACTCAGGCCTCTTTCAGAGAGCGTCTTCCACACGGCCGGCGGGCAGCGGGGACCTGTGTGGACACAGGGCGGTGGGGACAGACGCGCCCGGGAGTCCGGCTCCAGTTTCCTGGTGGCCCCAGGAGCCGGCGGGCAAGGGGCCCGCTCAGAGGAAGGGGCCCAGGGGCCTGGGCCCAGGTGGCCTCCCGCCTCGTGGCCTGGACACTCCCGCTGTCGCCTCCCCTCACGCGGGGACAGGCTGGGAGCTGGCATCGGACGTGGCCGCCCTCCCCGTGACCTCGCGTCTTCCTCCTCTTCCAACTGCAAAGCCAGGGGCACCCCAGAGGCGTGGGGGTCCTTGGGGCACCGGGAGGAGGCTCCCCATGCGGCCGGGCGGCTTTGCTGAATCTAAGGGAGTGTGAAACTGTCACAGAGAGGTGTTGGCCGCTGTGGTGGGAGGACAGGGGCCACCCCACGCCGGTCCTGCACAGAACTGAGTTTGTCCTCCCTTCTGCTGAGTGGCCGCCCAGCCCAGGCCTGGAGGGCGGGGGGCAGTGGCTTCCTGGGACGCTGCCTCAGGGAGCAGCTGGCCGGGACGCCTGGCCTGCATGACCAGGGATCCAAGCTGCCCACTTCAGGGCGCTGGGCAGCGCCCGTTTCTCTGGGACCCAAGTCCCAGGCCAGCGAGCTGTGGCCATCACGGTGTCCGGCGTCATCACAGCTCCGTGCTGGTGGGCGGCTCCACCCTGCACCTGTCACCCAGCTCGCCCACACTGCCCTGTGGCCACGGTCCTCTGCAGGCGCCCAGCCCCCCGCCTGCGGCTCCGGCAGCCTCCGCCCTCCCCTCCCCCAGAGTCAGGGTGTCCAGAGCAACGCTCCACCCCTCTCTGCCCAGGACAAGCTCAAGGCTCCCTCCACCCTGCCGAGCCCCTGCCCCGAGGCTCCCCACGGCCCTCCACGCCCTCCACGCCAGCGCCCCCGCCCCCAACCCCCCAGGGCGTCCTAGGTGGGGCGTTTCTCTTCCGAGCGAGCGGGTGGCCGCCCCCCAGCGGCCTTGGCTTGGTTTGCTTCATCTGCCCACAACCATCTCGTCCCGCCTGTTCTCCCGCAAGGCGAGTTCTGTGACCACGGCGCCGGCCTCGTCGCTGGGGGCCGGGTGCCCGCCGGCCGCGG